CTTGAGGTATTCGGTCAATCACAACGCACTGGATAGCTGGCTAATCAGAGCACACCTCGCTTTTCAGACCGATTAGTTTTGTAAAAATCGACGCGTTTCAAAAAGGCGGGGCATAGAGGAGAAACAATAATGTACAGTATGTGGAAAATAATGTGTTTTTTTTTACTTTAAACCGCATAAACACATTTCATTACACCAAATACACAAAATAATGTTCTTTTTAGCAGCATCATATGACCCCTTTAAACAGTCTTTCAGACCGCTATAAAACGGTGTTGAAAATAGACCTACTAAAACATTTTACAATAAACATCTGGGCCCGTATTCACAAAACATCTTAAGGCTAAAAGTAGCTCATAACTCGCCGATTTAAGGAGAAAATCTTAAAAATAATGGGCGTGTCGATCCTAAATTTAGGACTCCTAAATTTTTGCTCCAAGAGTATTTCCCAAAGCGTTTTAGCTAGCTTCTAAATCTGTGAAAGGTTAGGAGTAGTGAAGAGGACTACTAAATCACTAAGACTAAGCCACAAACTATCCTAAAATGGCTGTTGCCGGCAATCTGCCTCGGAACGTAAACATTTTACAAACATTTGATGATAATGACCTTTTAAAAAGGTATCACCTTTGGTTTTGGAGGTTACCCCAACTCCAAACTTTCCTTTGATTATATCCTTGTTTTCATTAACCAGTTGGGCAAGTAACAGCTGTGCTTGTGTCCAGTTTGTTTGTTTGGTTTTTTTACGTTTGCATGTAGTACTATCAGCCATGATTATTCTACTGTTAATTAAAAGGCTGTTTATATGCATATCCGCTAATTGTTTTTGAGAAGCATACATGTAAGAGGCTGACAATAAGCTGAACATACTTATTTAATTAGTGACACATATCCTGCATTTTAAAATCTTTGAGTGTTGCAAATTCTGGCAATTAACATTTTTTATTTTTAAACCTTTATTTGAATACGGCAACATAATATTGTGCTCTACAATATTTCCATGAATAAATCTCTGACAGAGACTATCAGCCAATCACTGTGTGCA